TGACCATGAACTTTCTTAAGTGCAATATTTATACTGTCAGATACTTTCTTCTGTTCAATTATGAACTGTGCGAAAAATAAATATTCAGGATTCATAGCAAATCTTCCACTGTAATGCAATAATCTTGTATTAAAATACTTAACTGGTGATAATTTTATATCTCTTTCAGCAGTATATCCAAATCTACCTTTAGGAAACAATACAGGGAATGCAAGTTCTTCACATAGTTTGTCAGTCATCAAAGATACTGGATGTTTGTTTTCACCTGGTGCAACATTGTAAATCTCTTGTCCAGTAGAAACATTAGAATTGCTTTCTTCCAAAATAACTGGGTAGTCTGGGCAAATTGCTTGTAAACATGTTTCATTAGTTGGTGATCTGTGTGCATTTAAGGGGTCATCTTGTTCTTCATTCAATGTTTCATTGTCAGTATTTGTGTCTGTAGAATCAACATTGCTTATATCATTCTTTATAGCTGCATCTGCAGTATTTGTTATTTGATCATAAGTATTTGCTTGTATATCATCTTCAGTTTCATTATGCATAATATCTGTGTGCTCATTGCTAATATTTGTACAATCAATTGCAATATCTTTATATAACATGTTGTTAGCTTTGAGCCAAGTAAGTGCTGCATGTATAAATGCTGGTCTGACTGCTTCAAAATATACATGACCTCTAAACTGTAGCTTCCGTTTCAACTTCAACATAATAATGCCAGAACTCTCAGGAGGACGAGGCAGAATATTACAAGTCTTATCACATTGTACTGGTACATTACAAATAGATCCTTTAATCTTACGTTGCTGTCCTTTTGGCATTACCACAATTTTTTCAAAAACTATGCGCTGTGCAATCAATATTTGTTCTAATTTTTTCAAACATTCCAGTTCTGATGGTATATCATCAACAAATAAATTGTTTACTATAGCTTGACATGGAGTTATATTTTTTACACACTTTGAATGACATGTTTTACAGATATATTCTTTGCCATCAAATGATACTTTGATTGTAAACATATTTTCTGAGGGATACTTATTTGTAATTAGCTTTATGACTGACTTCTTATAAAGGTTTCGGTTACACACACAGCATGTGTAATAAGGGCCTTCTCTTATTTTCGTTTGAAACTGTTTGATACAGGAATCTAGATCTTTACTCTTCTTATTTCTAGAATATTTTTGTCTTTGTTTATCCAATAACT